GAGAACTGTACTATGATGGTGGGGGGAAGAACATGTAGTAGTAGTTGTTGTTTTAGAGGTTAACCAACCACAGCGCTGCTCTTAAGTTTGGACTTCGATATCATTGGTTGTTCAACCACTGGATAGCTTCATTGTTGTCAATGACCTCCAACTTTGAAAACTTCGTTCTCTCTGTGGGTCCAATATCTGTAGGAGCATGTGTACAAATGCGTGCAAAAGCCTTTTACTACTAAAACGTCCGGCCTCTTGTTTCTTTGCCTCTCTTCTTTCCACCGTTTGGTGTTTCTTTCTCTGTAGTCTCACTCTCTCTCTCACCTTCTACACTCTTAAATAACTATCACTGTTTCATGTAAACGAATGCCTTGCTGCTTGTAAGGGTGAATATCGCGTGGGTTGTCGTGCAGGTAGCGACGTACCGTGAACCTTATTTACGGCTAGCGCGCACGGTCGTCGTCCGTCGTCATTCCGAAGCACTCCCATCATCGAGTCCACCACTGCACGGAGCAGTTGCATGCAGCAAGCACTTTCACTATTCACCACGACTTCACCCGAGTGAGTCGGTACGGTAGTGTTTGCTAGTTAGGACCGAAGACGTGTCTGTCACACCACATGACAATACAGCGCCGGCTACCGTCACATGCGCTATGTCGTGCCGTGAAATGGAGTGTATCATGCTCGTGTGTTGTTAACAGAAAATAATAGTAGTACTTCGACTTTTACAGTTGTTTTATAAGGATTAAAGTTAGTGAATTGTGAAAGTGTTTTATTAAAAGTTTTCACCCGGATTTTTGTGAATGTGTTCATCTGCACCGATTTATTTATATTGTCTTGATTGTAAGTGTAGTGACAATGATTGTGACAGAAAACAACCAGCTTCATCAGAAAGCTTTTGAAATAATGCAAGCGGACCATCTTCAAGTTCCTGAGTCTACAACTCCGGGTATTATGATGGATAGCACCGTCACATCAGGACACAGAGAACCGGAGCTTAAAATAGGTACACCGGCTTTTAAAAGTTCTAGGTGTTACTTGTGCTAAGCGTCGATTCCACTTTAACGTGACCTCGGGTTATCTTTCATGGACCTTAGATCTTACTGAGACAGCACCGTGAATGAGTATTGCTAATCGTCATTTTTTTTTCAAGATTTCTTAAGTGTCATAGCCACTCTTAATATGCGACTGGTTAATATTTTGTGTTCTAAGGATTTGTTTTGATCCTTATAGGTATGGCTTATTTATAGATAATTAAATTAATACTGAACTGGAAAAGATGTGAAAGGAAGTGGTAATTTAATGTACTATCCCGATATTTGCCTGGATAGACTGAGGAAAACCTATCTCAATGATGAGGATAGCCGGTTTATAAGTTATTAATAATTCAGTACAGTATTTTGAGGTTGTAGATTGTGATGTTAATGACTGAACTGTTCTTTTCCCACAGAATTCGATGGGACGACAGTACTTTGTCGTGTTTGCGGTGACAAGGCTTCAGGCTTCCATTATGGAGTACATTCCTGTGAGGGCTGTAAGGTGAGTGCACGTGTTTGTTTACATACGTGAGTCACGCATTTAGTCATTTCTTCGAATGTTTTTTTCTTCCCATTGGGAAACCGTGAAGGTCGAGAAACTTGATGTAAGCATGGCCTTATCAGTCAATGCATTGATCAGATTAGTATTGTAATAGAGAATGCCATGGTGTGCGAGGAGAAGTGGTTTAATTTGTGCTACAGTCTCGTGAATTGTCTTCCCGAATTGTTTTATGAATAGCCTATCTAAGGAGAATCTGTATCGGGCCCAAATTTCTTCTATTTTAATCCTCTAAGTTTCTGTACGGTAACTTTATAACTTAAATCCGTTTAAAACAGTAAATTATCTAGGTGGAAGACGTGAAGCTGTAAACTGGATTAAATTATCTTGAGACATGAAATTGATCTTACGAGTTGCATGAAATTCTCTTGACCAACTGAACTTCGAAAGACAGACCCTGCGCTCTGAATTACAAACGTTTAATTATAGTCATGAGATTTAATTGATGCAGTATTTATTAAATTATTATTTACGGAACAATATAGATATTCCTAAATGTAGCCATGTTCACATTAAATTTCTGACTGGAAATTAGCCCAAGAACGAGCTTAGTACCTGAATGATTTCTGTGCAGTACAAATACTAGCCCCTTTGTTGTTACACAGAATACATGTTTAAGTCAATTACTGCCATTAATCTTTTAAGGTCACTACGCCGGATGTGGTCAGGTGTGTGGATTAAGTAATCCTTATGTTGTAATGCCCCCCGGACGCGTAACATAAAAGCACGGTGAAAGTCCGTATGCGCATCTACGTAGAGAGAAAGTAAGTTTACAAGAAAGTAGGTGCAAAGAAAGTATTACGTCACATTGAGCGCAGAACGTAATGTAACGTAACTTGACTTAATCCCGTAGCTCTCGGCGTCTGTTTCTGTACGTCATTCTGCAGAACCCAGATTAATCCCGTAGCTCTCGGGGTCTATTTCTGTACGTCATTCTGCAGAACCCAGTAAAATACGTGCATGAAAATGTATTCGATTTTGTTCAGGATTAATATAGTGGCTTAATGAACCCGATTATGAAGACACAATACAGTGTAATTCGACTCTAAATGTTGTAAGCGATCTGCAATAAATTTCGCCCTATGGAACAGCATGTAAAACCTCAGTCAGTGTAGTCTAGTTCATCGATGTAGTATTTATAAATTCCGTTCTTACCTCAAAGAAAACACTACGTTTCTATTACAAAGATCATTTCGTCAGTGCTGTTTATGGGAATAATCGCTGTCTGTTCTTTTAATCATATGAAGTCCATGAATGTACTCTGCGAAATGCAGTTATTTAAGTTAAATCAGGTGGTAAATATACTTGCTGCTGGGTTTAAAAGGGTTGTATTAAATCAGGTGGTATATGTACTTGCTGCTGGGTTTAAAAGGGTTGTAGTTTAATTGAACTACTTTGCTCTGGAATCTCGCTTTAGAAAGAGGTGGTAATTTGGGGTGTTACTGTTTTTGCTCTGTTTTCGTACTTGACTAGTAATGTAGGTTTAGCTAATCAGTTGTCGCAGTGCGCAGTGCTTCTTTCGATTTGATGGCGTTGGCGAGTTGAAGGTCGGTTATCGTGGAAGTCAATGGCCGCCTGCATGGATTACAATGTGGGCTGGGCCTGAGTTCAAGGCGGCCTTGGATGCTCTTCACATCTGAAAGGCGAATAACCTTCAAGGATTAGTTTCAAGAGGGGCAGGGAGGAAGGTTCTTAAGAAAGGAACAAAAGTAAATGGTGTTGTCTAAAACCGACCCTGACCTTCGGTGGTTGTGGGGAAGCTACAAAAGAGACACAACATTTATGACGCGCTTAAACTTCTTTCCTTTACATTTCATATAATGGTCAACTTCTCGTACAGAAGATGAGAGAATAATTGTTTTGTGTATAGTTTATGCTCCTTAAAATGCTTTAGTAATGCCCTCAGTTTGAAACCTCCCGTTGAAAGACGTAGAACAATAATTTACATTTTAATATGGTCCTCCCACCAAATCTGAGGTTATCGCAGTGGTGAATATATGATTGTGATCTTCAGGGTTTTTGAAGCCACTCAGTTTTGTTGTCAACTTTTCGGAGGAATGTGTCGCCTTCATCTTCACGGCTGAAAGTTGATAGCCAGCTACAAAACATGGCTGCAGAACTCAAGAGACCACAATCAAATTAAGAAACTGATCCTGATGATGGAGATAGACCGAGTCTCCGAAACGTTGGTATTTAATAGCATATATATGGAACTCATGACAGTGTACAACTATCAACTTCCTGAAACTGTGTTTTCCCCTTAATATATGAGACAAAGTTGCATACTAGTACAAAAGAAAATACAAAATTGTTTTGCGAACAATAGCAACAAGCTTTCGTCGAACTGAGTTTGCCAAGGAAGCACAATAACATGACAATGCTGTTACAGTTTTGACAGAATGCCCCAGAATCATATGCTACTGCATGAGAAACTTGTTGCCAAGTTGTTAGTTTCACTGCAAATACTATGCACACTGACGTTTCGGAAATGTTTGATTCTGGTGAGATAAATACGCAGTTCAAAATTAGGTGCTCATTAGATGAATAAAATATTTTTTAGGTACCCCCACCTCAAAAATATTTTATTGCTCTGATGCCCCCCCCCAAAAAAAAATCCCAAGCTGTGTGATGGGACATGTTTACTGTTACCACTACCATCAGTTATATTACATGGCCTGATCATGTAACCATTAGAATTGTCTCTCCTAACCATGATCAACCAAAGGCCGTGACTACTAGCCGAATGAATGTGTCCTTGCCCTAAGGTGGCTAGATCTTTCGCTTCACCTTCATCTTGAAGGATTACTTCTCCACCATGCGCGACCTTGAATTCACTGCTTGGTCGCACGGTCATGTACCTTTCAGCGGCACCCGGTAACTCTCCCTTTCGAAGCAAGCTACTCTCTGATTGGCTGTTGCGAGTCTATCATGCACTCTTATTGGCTTGTTTTTAGATAGCAGTGAGTTCATATCATATGTATTACGAAGTAACTTTAAAGAGTAAACATATTTTTTACTCTGAAGTGCAATAAGAAAAAGTTGTTTTCATGGACTTTTGATAAATGAAATGAACTGCAAATATTACATGCTTTTTCAGGTTTTAGTGTGCTAGATGTTGCGAAGATCGTGTATTGTACCGCTGTTTTGTCTCTGGGCTGTAACGCCGTGTGGTCTTACAGGAAGATACCTGTAAGTCCACACAGAAGACCAATATAAACATATTCATCGCCGTGAGAACCACAAAGTTCATGTAATGTGTAACGTAGAATCTTTTAATGAGTGTTGAAAATGCAGACGTCGAATATTAACATATGCGTACACTTACCAGTAGTATTTATCGGTACAGACTAAGCAGACGATCGTCTTATTGAACTGATTATAACAGGACCAGAGGACAGGCGTAACATCTCCCTTTTCCGTCTTCGTGCTACAACGAAAATATTGAATTTACTCTAGGATTTTACAAATCGTAATATTTCATCACAAATTTGGGCTAGAAATTGTTATAAATGCGTTGTTATATATCAAAATAAACACTGATATTCATCGCCCTGATGACGGAGGCAGTATGACCTCCGAAACGTTGGTAAACATCTACCAGACTACACAGCGCAACAACCCAGAAGACAGAAATCTTCATACTCACCGCTGTGAAAACCTCAAATAATACTGATATAACAAACCCCTATGTGACAAACTTCAGCGAGTGATTACATTTTCAAAACAAAGTTTAATCAGCTGAGTTACACACCTGCAGCCCTGAAGAGGGAGACAGTGTGTTCTTAGAAACGCTGGTATCCACCACCTGCATTTAAGTCCAAATGTATTGCCAACCAGATGACGAACATTGACATCTTGACCGCCGTGAGAACCTATCTTATATAAGTGTAGTACGTCACCGTTCGTCATTCTCTTTGGAAGTCAATTCACCACGCAAACGCATTGCCAGATGGAGGCAAGAGAACGCGGAAGTCTGGCTAGAATCGACTATAGTTCAGGTTGCTTTTGTCACAACGTAATAGTCTGCCAGTAGCGAGATTCAGCGACAGGTGGCACTAATGAACTGGGTCATCAGGTCGTCTCTTTAGAAGTAGGCCTACCCTCTTTAAGCGTGTTGAAACCAATATGAAGATTCTGCTAAGATTTTATGACGCTCAAGCAACCCTGTTAAGCAATGAAATTTTTTTTGTAGATTTTTCTCTTACTAATGCTTTACGGTGCTGCACAGTCAGAATAATGCCCGTGAAATCGTGTCACTAATATAATTTCGACCCAAGACACTTTTCTTTGACAATTACAGAATTAGTATTGCAAATCATAGTTAAATAGGTATTAGGGAATACATTTATTTACTGTTCTATTAGAAAATTCACTTACTTACTACTTATTTAACGACGCTGTTTTACCTGTAGAGTTTATTATCGTAATGATTTATATTATTGTAAATTGGGGAAATGTTTTCTTGGTGTTGTCTAAAAAATACTTAATGGGTGGGTTTGCTGTTTGTGTTCAGACCAGCATTACTCTGCGATGTAAATCGACATTTTTATACCATTTAAATTATTATTTTTCGTGCCAGTTTCTTACTTGTCGCTAAAATATCTGCCACACTCTGGAACCATAACAATAGCAGTTTCTTTAACCTGTGTTACCTGAGAATACTGATTCGCAATAATAACACCAGACATTAACAAGATGGAGTTTTGAAGCGATGAAGTGTGTTTTACAATGCGTCATTATTATAAACCTGTAATTTTAGTGATTACAAAATGTCGCAGCGCACCATCACGAAATGTAAGTGATAGTCTTGTATATGTTTCAAACTGAGGGTGGACTTCGCAGTTTTATTTTGTACGTGTATTAATTTGAACGAAGTCCGTTCGTGGTTTTACCTCAGATACTACTGAACGGATTAGTATAAAAACTGGTGTAAGAGTTTGGGA